ACTTCCATACTCTGAGTTTAAAAATGCAATAATTGAAATTTCAGAATGCCAATTTTCATTGGCAGACATACAATAAAGATTGTTATTTTTTTAACTTCTTATTTACATTATATTGTTTTGACAAGGGGTTCAATCCATTTTATCATGTTAACCAATCTCCCACTCCAATGTATTTGTCATTGTCAGAATCTCTCATCATTACACCTAGGGTTTGTATTCACGGATACCGTAAGGAGGTCACACAGGGTTACACACTATTAAAATCAAGTGATTTTTTGCTGTTTTATTAGTGTGTAACCCCCTTAACGGTATTCATGGTATCCATGAATACAAACCCTAATTACACCAAATAAACCAATAATTTCTCAGATGATGTATAGTCAGTATCATGCACACATAATTTGTGCATTCAACACTACACTTACATATCTCAAAAAATCTTTGGATAACAACACATATGAAAGCATCAAAAATACCATTTATTGTGGGAAAAAATTAATAATCAAGGATCACATAGTTGCTAAACTTAATAAAATATTTGAATGTGACTATTCTAAAGTTGAAGATACTATAATTACTGAGACAAAAATTGTAGATGATCAATCTGATGATTCAAAATTCATTTATTTTATCAAACATTCTCTTTTGGATTTTGTTGCTAATTTCAAATATATAACACCAAGAGCGTTAGATAGATCAATGTATGAAAGATCCTACATTGTAGAATGTCTATCACCAATATTTCGTTCTTTTTGGAATTCATACCCAGAAATAAAATATCACTAGATAGAAAAGATTGTTGAGTCAATTAGTGGAACAAACGAAATGTTTATGTGTGATATTGACCAGCGTAAGACAGACATATCAATTGTTAGAATTTCTGATGAAAAAGGGATACTAAATGTAGAGGTCTCAGGGCCACCATCTAGAAACACTAAAGATCACACTGTTGGAGACGTTAAAAAGTTATTATCTATGGCAGTCTGTAGTTTATGTTGTTCCCTTGGTGACTATCTAGATTGTAGTGTCGAAGATGCCAAAAAAATTAAATCATATAGCATACAAGTAATTGGTAACAGACTTACATTATTTGCAGTTTCTTTATTTGATAAAAAGAAATATTTGGCAATAGAACTTTCATCATGTACAATTCCATTTTCGTATGATTCAATATCATGTTATATGAAAATTTTTAATTTTTTCGCAATTATAAGAAAAGAATTTCTAGAACAACAAGAACTGTACAAAAAATTTGGTTCTTTCCATCATACTGATAATAGCACAGAAAATTTACGCGAGTGGCTTCATCCACCAGATGTTAACTTATATCCATCAAAAGAAGATATTGATGATACAATATTTTTTATGAATTAGATTGAATTATATAGTTTAACAATTTTCGTTGGATTTTTGCATATAATAACAAATTTTTTTTAAAGAGATCAAAATAGTCGAACATACTCAATTAATTGAACTTAGATGTAGAAAATTATTAGTTTAAGAAATATTCAATAAATTAATAGATAGTATGTTATGAATGGTTAATTCTGCTTTAAGAAATAAAGAAACTTGACAAGATGTCAAATTTTTTAAGTAAACATTGACTGATTTTTTTAAAATAATTATATGCAAGTTTTATGTTGAGTTATTGAGGAAAACGACAGTTGAATCTTTTCTGACGAATCAATTTACTAAACATCCTAAAAATTTGTAGGCAGCTAGATTCAAACATGGTGAACATGTTTTGCTTGTGACGCAAAGGATGTCAAAACTTGCTATTGTAGTCGATTTTCGAGTTAAAGATTTTTTGAGAATTCCGAATTTTTTTGATGATCTGCAGGATGTGTTATATTAATATAGGGATGATAAATCATTCTTTCGTTATTATTCGCTATTAAATAAAAATATCTGCGTAATATATAATATATTTATACTATGAAGATTAATTGGTGAAAATATTGGATCATGGAAAAAATGTGACATTTTGAAATATTTCTTTATTAATAAATATTATATTATCTTTTATTATTTATCAAGTAATATTTTAATAATAATAATAATACACAGTAAGTCTCGGTATAGCGGATGTCTAATAAAACTCTCGGTTTAACGGATCAAAGCTCAGAACCGTCTATAAGTAAATTCTCTCGGTTTAACGGATTTACTAATTAAATCTTGAATTAATCTCGGTATAACGGATTTTTGAAATTTTTGTTCTAATTGGCCCAAATTATCCGCTATATATACCGAGACTCACTGTGTAATGCTGTAATCTTTTGTAGTACAAATGTTCACTTTGTCTGGTTTTGTTGCAGCATGCCCCATATTATAATAATAACGATAAAAATTTTTTCCAGGTTATAGTCATCCAAATTTGGGCTGGGCGTGCAACACTCACTTTGTTGAACTATAAATCAATCATATGTTAATGCCAATTTTAGGAAATCCTTTACGCCATCGGCATAACAATGAAAGTTTACACTGTTGACTTTTTTTTTATTTTAAGTATATGTATACGAAAGATTAAATTTTAGAGTAAATAAAATAACGGTGCAGCAAGTACTGTAAGTGTACAGCCTGCATATACTCATAAAATAACGAGTTTTTATTTGAAAAATTAAATTTACAATAATAATAAAAATAATAATAATGTAATTTTTTTAAAATAGAAATCAATTATATACTACTATTATCGCCATCGTTATTACTATCATTATCACCGTAATAATAATAATCACTGATATCGCTAACATCTTCATCTTCATCCTCATATTCGTATTCATATTCATCGCCATATTCTCCTTTCCCGACATCTAATTCATCATCTTTATCATCTTCGTCATCTTCGTCTTCTCCAAAACCAGGTAAATATTGTTTTTTAAGAAGGTTTATAAAAATATTACGAAAGAATCCAATTTCATGGTATAATTTTTTATCATCCGATGACAAATTAATTATTCGTGATTTATTATTTTCTGTGATGAACAATTCGAATTGCTCGAATTGTTCAATGAAATTTTTAACGTAAATCCTAATCACTTTCGGTGACTTCTTTTCCGACATTGCTTGTTGACAATCTAGCAAACATTGCAGTACGCATTTTAATTTTGTAGATACTAGATGTGATATTATTGTATTTGGATTAGATTCACTAGAGTCAGAATGATTAGAATCCGATGAAGGTCTTCTTGAAGATTTTGGAGGAATTATTGGTGGTGGTGAAGATGGCGGTAATAATAATGGGCGACATGAAGATCTTGATGACGATGTGGTGAATAATTTAGTAGTGTTTGATGATTTTTGTTTTTGCATTGCAGAAAAAAATGAATAATTGATTTTTGAAAATATAATAAATAATAGCTATGGAATTGTTTTTAAGATTTGCTTTGAAAAAAAAAAACTTGAAACAAAAGGTTTATAAATATATATTTAAATATATGTATGTTTTCCCCATAAAAACGATTTCCATATGCAAAAAATGCATTGTTAATTAAAAAATATAAATAACATAAATATAATACTATAATAATAAATATTTAATTAACACAAAAAAATAAAGGAACAATGTTAAAAATTGGCCAATCGGGGATTGACTCTATCCCAATTATTTTCAAGATTAAATAATTATGTTTTATTAATATTTGTTAAACAAAATTCAAATTTATGAGATTGGATGATGCAATTATAATTATTATTATTCAAGAATCTCAAATTTTTGTTCTGTATTATCTTCTGCTTTAGTTCTTTTCAATTCATCTTCACCCGCTTTTTTCTCTTCCTTTCCTGAATTTTTAATATGATCTTTGCCCATTGCTATGCCAATTGCTTCCTATAAAAAATTTGGACAAACGGGGAAGATTTAATTACAAATGATTAAATATTATTATTATTATTATTATTATTATTATTATTATTATTATTATTATTATTATTTATTTATTATGATTATTATTATGATTACTTTCAATGATCCAGCTACTACGTTTTTGGTTCCACTTGTATAACTTGGTTGTTCATATTCTATTTATAATGTAAATGTTTCGTAAATAAAAAATAAACTCTCCTGAAACTTAATTTCAGATAAGATTATATTAGATGTATAAGATAAAAAAAACCTTTGATTTTTCCACCGTCAGATAAATCAATTTCAGTCTCTTCGGTTGTTCCAGTCTCTTCACCAATTTTTTTATTTTTACTTCTTTCTTCTTCGGCTCTAAATATTTTTTCTTGGTCAGGTGGTAGTGAAGTTATTGGCCCTGATGGCACATACAAATAAAAAAAAAGATAGATAAAGATATAACTGTCTCGTTCGTTAATCAATTAATTTATTTGTGGTATCTCAATCTATTTTTAAACGCTAATAATATCTAATTATTTGTTTATGAATAAATAAATACCAGGCATTAAACTAATTCCGCTTTGAGGAAAAGAGTTATTGATGCTATTGCCTACTTCGTGCTTTTGTTTATCCATGATTAAATTAATGTTTTTTTTTATATGAAAGTTTAAATTTTTTTTCCTCAGAGTTTAAATAAAGAAAAAATAAACTCTCATTCATCATTCATTTATTCCAATTATATCAATTTTTATTAATAAGGGGTGTCATAGTTACATCATTCTAATCAAAAAAAAATGTTTGATGTTCTGTTTGGGAGTACAATAGTACTATACTAATTTTTGTATCGTCTGTGCAGATCCATTCGGATATGATATCATTCAAATCATGGTCCTATTGAAAAGGCCCATTTTAACACACAAGTTGGCAGATGACTTGGTTAGCAATACTTTTGTAAGAAGCCATTGGTAAAATACTGCACCTTTATCATAGACTTTGACGAGGCAAAGATTTCCTTGCTTATAGTGAGGTTTTACTTTGCATATCGTGATAAGCATGGACCTTTTTCATCATTGATCGCCGAACAATAATCGACATTTATCTACTTGAGACTACAATGGGATGTTAATGATGCCTTTGATGCTTTAACTGATTGCTGTCGCTGGATATTTTTGATATGCAACTATCGAAGGACATTATTTATCTGATGAGAAAGATATTGTTTTACACTGGAAAATGGGTCAAAACCTGCTCAAAATAGCAGCACAGCACATACAAATAAGTTGGTTTTTAAAGTATAGGCCCTATTACTATAGAAAATTCTGTACGGAAAATACGGAATTTTTTTTATAGGGGGAGTTATATTAATATATCATTTATTTTTCCTAATTAAGGAATAAAGGTGCATGATTGTTTGGTTTGGCGATTGTTTGAACAATATTAGGATTCTAGTTAAAAATCAATCCCATGATATTGATTTGCTCTTGACTTTGCATTCTTTATAATAGAATCTTTCAATGAAGTTATAATGATTTTTCGATTTATTCTTGCGTAGTTGGATTTTTGTTTTGATAATTATCCTGATTGTTTTCTTTGCCATTTATTGTTGCGCTTTTTATTATATCCACCGCACTAATATTTTATTCAATAAGGATTTTTGTTGGATTAGTTTGAACTAATTGAGAATGGTAGGTTTTTTCCTCGTGAAAAATAATAAAGGCTGGCGCAGGGTTAAGAAATCTAACCCTAAAATTACTTATATAGAGTTTAAATTAATATTTAATAATAAACTTTTTTTACTTTTTCTGCATCGCGTAACAGCATGGTGGACATTCGTATAATTGGTAATGATTTTCGTCGATCATATCACACAAAAAAGAAAATTTGATTGGCCCG